TTTTTCACCTTTTTTTTTCCTTTTGTGGTGGGATTGGAATAGGAAAACAAGTGATGATACCATTCAAATATGATTCTTGGACTATCAATATTCTAGTAACGAGCTCTCAATCTTATCCACCACCTTAGTGAATTTATTATGGAGATTGACAAATTAAGGACAACCATATAATATGTTCATGCTCTTCACGTCTTTGGCTAATTAATTCCTCCTTTCTTGAGCTAGCTGTTGTTGGGCATCCTTAATCATCTGTCCCACTTCCTCATTTTCTGGTGTCTCCTTCATCAACGTTTCACATTCTTGTATGCATGCTTCCCATTTTCCCATCTGGTATATATATATGGCACATAAATTAATGCACATCATCGTCAATATTATTTTTTTAAAAACAGAAAAAAGATCAAATAAATGTCTTGTTTTCCAATCATAGATTGAGGGTCAACTATGATTTTTTACTAAGTTGTGTTCAGCGCGTTGAGCACCATGACCATGTCAATTTAAGATAGCTGCTAATTTGTTCCAAGGACGCATTGTTCTAAAAAGAATAATATGTTTAGATTACTGAGAATAGAAACATCTATATGTTATCATGAATTCTGACATTAAAATAAAATTTAAATATTTAGAAAAAGAGCACAAATACTTTATTTTATATCTTAGAACTAAAAAAAATTGAAAAAAAATGCGTAAAAGAAAAAATAATAATTTCTCAAATAGTAATGTCTCATATAAATGTGACCGAAAGAATACATGAAATTTGGTACCATAATGTTGTGATTCGGTGAGTACTTATTCAGCCATCTGGTCAAAAGAACAAGTTTCAAGGGCTAATGTTATATATTATTTCTTTCTTTTTAAAAGCAAAATTAGAGAAGTTGAAAGTGTCTTCTTGCTACCAAACAGGACAAGCCTAAATTATGATTCGTTGAATATGTTGAAGTAATTAATAGGTCAACCAATCTTTGGGTATATAGTACTCCCTATATATGGAAATGTCATTTCATGATTGTTTAAATAAAATTCTAACTAGTTCATCACACGTTCCAACTAGTGTCAAAGCATAAAGAAATTTAGAAATTACCTTAAAATAACAATCAGCCTTCCTCAACCTAGCCTTGGTAAAAGATGGTCGGACAATAAGGGCAGCATTGCAATCCTCAAGTGCTTTCTCAAATTGGCCAAGTTTTGATCGACAAGCTGCTCTATTGCACAATAAGACTGAGTTGTGGGGGTCATGGTCTAGTCCTTCACCATAAGCAACACTAGCATCTGCATATTTTCCAGCTTTGAATAGCTCATTACCCTTTGCTCTAGCATTTGCTACTGCCCTTGTCCTCCTAGCTACCGTGTTTACTTCCTTGTTGTTCCCATCTAGCTGGGACGCTCGTTGAGCCGCTGCTAGGGCATCATCGATCCTATCATGTTATAATCATAACTATTAGCCAACGACTGAAAAATACTGGTTTAGTCGTACAAAAATGACTCAAACTAGTTTGAAATTGAGACATAATCGATCGATCGAATCTTATGTTGTTTTGCAAATTATATAAGACAGTCGTTCATAGAGGGATGGAGGCATTTAATCATATACATGAATATTAAATAAACAATATCTTGAAACCCTTAAGATCAATCCTCAAAGCTTGTTTGATTGTCTTATAAAGTGTATAGGAAAATTTGAAGTCCAAAAGAAAGATTAGTAGGAATTCAAAAAAAATTGGAAGTAGGAATGTTGATTTAGAGTGATTTCAATATGTCAAATTGCACCTAACGACCAAATCCATACTCAAGTACTTATCATTTGGCTTCTCTTTTCTCCTACACAGTTTTCCCTTTAGAGTTGTTAGCTAATTAAAACACTTTCTTTCTCTATAATTATCCAATAGTATTAATTATTCCATTTCTGTCTCAAAACCTTGTCATTGGCATCTCTAGGTAACATTACTAGGGCCTAGGGTAAATCCACTTTATCATTTATTTAAGGGGGGTGGGGGTGAAATGTTGAATGGCTTGAATAGTTCCTTTTCCCTCCAAAGAAAACAAAAACGAAAAATATTGTTTATTTAGTTTTTCTAAAACATGAATACCAACCTGCCAGCAGCCAAGTCAACTTGAGCTTGAATGACTAGCAACCCTGCATTGCCAATCGGTCCAAAAAAATTTGTACATTCGTCCAAATCAAAATTCGGACCATTCTTCAGAGTTTGATCTGCTTCATGGTATCTATGTAGCTTCACCAACGCCTCAGCTTTCAAAGCAAATATCTTTTTTTTTTCCCAATCAAGAACAAAAATTAGCATGTTTTATAAAGAAAATAATAGTAGCAGATTCTTATGGTTTAATTAGTAACGTAGTTAACCTGGGGTGCAGAATCAGCACCAGCCGATATGGCGAGGGCAGTTTCTTTTAAAATAGTGTTCCAATCTCTTTGCCTCTTTGCCTCAGTACACTTGTTGAGATGAATTTGAATATTTTTAGCCTTTGTTACAACATCAGGATCAGCTTCTGCTCCTGCTTGTTTGTAATGGTACATAGCCTTCTCTGCATCTCCTAATCTAAACACAAAAAAGCATAGCAATCTCCAAAATTATAAAACTAAGGGATCATGAAATTTACAATGAAAATTAGCGGGAAACAAATGTGTGCATTTACCTGACAGATAGAGTGGCTAAACGATTATGAGCTCTTTGATAATGAGGATCAATTGTGATAGCTTCTCTGCACTCAAAAACAGCTTCAAGGAGCCTTCCTAAAGCGGTCAAAGCAGCGGATTTGTTGCTTCGATACGAAGCCTTATTAGGATCAATGGAAATTGCAGCATCATACAAAGCCAAAGCCTCAGCAAATCTTCCATTCTTATAATCCTCATTTCCAAGAATCTTTAATTGCTCAGGGTCCATTCTTGTGGAAAGTGCACGACAAAGGGAAACAGAACCGCCTGTTTTCCCCTGCTCGTGATCACCCTGTTTCTTCACCACATTTCCCATAACACTCGTCGAATATTTCCCATTATTCTGTGGTGCTGGCGCTGGTGTTGTTGGTTCTTCTTTAGCGGTTCTTGGTAAATAATCAAGAACATGATTAGCTGTTGAAGTTGTTGTGGAAGCAGTACCATTGCTCCCACCTTGCTGCCTAATATTACCCAAATTTCCAAACAACATCACATTGCTGGACGATGCACGGACTAATGTATTAGCACCCTTTGATCTTTGATGATCCTGGATCATGGTTTCCAGCTCCCCTGATATCCCTGTTGCGGCTTGAGGCACTTTTCTTCCTTGATTATTATATCCTTGTACCACCTGACCATTTTTCTGTTGATTATGAATAGCTTTATTCTGAGATGCTGCTACTGCGGCCTTGGATTGGTTTGGATTAGGCCTTGGGATGATCCTGTCAGCTTGTTTCTCCGATTGGTTCTCACGAGATTCTAAAAATGCCTCGTTGGGACCATTGCGATGCCTTTTAGAATTTTGAGTACTTGAAGATCTTGTTACATTGTTAACATTGTTGGTATCTTGTGTAGGAAGTGAGCCTGTGGATGTTGATCTTCTTGTCCAAATGTTTCTCCTTCCAAAAACAGCATTCAACAGGCCACAACCTGTTTTCTTTTCAGGAGAAATGTCTCCCATATTTGAGATATGTTTCAATGTTTTCTTGGATTATTTTTATAGAAACTGGTGATCAAGAAATAGGGGTAATGTGACACAACATGCACAAATCTTGGAAATATACTTATGAAGGAGCTTCTTATGTAAGAAAGACGAGGAAAAATATAAAGACAAAAGACTTGTAGGCCAAGGAACAAACAGAGAACTCACCTAGAAAATGAAGGACCCATGTACATAAAAAGAAGTTATTACATTTAGAAATTGTATAAAGGAGATTGATTGTGGGGTAAAATGCAAAGGTACAAAAATGGTTAATGCCCCCCAGGAGAGGAGTTCGTAATTGTCAAAATCTGTTTGTTTCTGTATGATCTCCTGGAGTGCTTGGCTTAAACAATAATATCTTTCTTTTTGTTTTTTTGGTTTTCTTTCTCTCTCTTTCTTGTTGAGGAAAGATGGATATGGAATGATTGCATGAGAGAGAAAGAGGGGGGGGGGGGGGGNNNNGAGAGAGAAATGGTATGTGAAAAATGATAAGAAAAAAATAATAATTAAGTAACTTTTTTAGGGGGTAGATTACAAAAATAATAGTAGTAGTAATGATGAAGGTATGCAAAGGGAATTTTTCAACACCTTTTCTTTCAACTTTTTTTCTGCTTTTGTGTTTGGTTAAAATTAAAATGTGTTTATTTTGTGTTGGTTTGGTATTTGTGGTGTCAAAGGGGAGACCAAAAGACCCGGTCATGGAACAAAGGAGGATCTCAAGATATTTAGAAGAAAAATAATTTGAAGGCTATTTATTACACCCACTTTCTTCGAAGAATCTTTTATTTCATTCTCTCATTTTTCTCTTTTCTACTATTTTTTTGTCCAAATGCTCAATGTCACGCCGTTAGAATACAATAGTTTCAACAAATTCCAATTTTGGAGTGGAGTTCACGTAGGAGACTTCGAGCAGCTCACGTATTGTAGCCAGCTGTTTTGTAATAAAAGGATTTGGAAGATAGATCGGCCTACTCTTTGCATTACGCTTTTTCCTCGTCTTTAAATGGTCAAAACATATTTATATTAAGTAGCAACAATAATTGTTCCATTGACCTCCATTTTCTCATTAAAGAAAAAGCAAATAGTAACATTGTCACCGTGTTTGACTCAGCTCCCTTCTTAAGCTGCTTTTCTCTCATCAAATGTCTTTTTGTAGTTTTTCAAACCGTCAACAAATAATCTCCATGCATGCATTGATCCACTCTTTAATTTTTTATCTTTTAAAATATAACTAATATACCAAAAGAATTACGTGAAATTGACTTTAAATAAATTCTGTGTTTAGAAATTTTGAAAAAACAGTAGTTAAAGTAAAATTTATTTAAGTCCCTAAAATAATAAAGTGCCTTTCTCTTGGGGACATATTTATTATGGCATATCCAAGCCATTCCGTGAGAAAGATATACAGTAGGAGATAGAAACTCAAAAATCAAACTTCGATCACATCCATCAATTCATTCTGATTTAAAAGCTTATTTTATTTCCCAAATTGTCTGCATGTTTTCATCACCGCCTGAATTTCCTTGACCACTTCCCTTTTTGTTCTCCTAAGCCAACAGACCGGTGTAAAACATCAGCTATTTTGTCAACAACGGGGCTGAAATTTATGCCCAAAACCATTCAAGAAGTTACCGCTGGTGCAACATCAAAGTCCTCATCAGTAAATGTTTTCAAACTTGAATGTGTCTGCTCTCAATTTATTATAGAAGGAAACTTTTGCTAGGCCACTATGCAACCAACCACCAACCTACTTTGCATTACCCATCGACCAAGTCAAAATTCATTAGGCCCAAAACAGGAAGAGGTGGGAACAAGTATTACCAATTCATTTTGAAAGGGCACGGAGAGGATAATAGAAGAATTACCAATCTCTCGGAGAAAATGTATCAGAACCAATTTGCTTTATCCGAAGAGATTGCTAGTTTTTTCCCAGCATCTGACATCTCAGCGTCAGGGAAATTTCTGTTCAAAACTATTTCTAAACTACTAAATTGTTGACAGACAATTAGCCCACCTCAGCAAACTCAGATAAAAGTCCAGGATGATGGACCAAAATTGAACGTCTGGCTGCTCCGAAACGACATGCATCTGTTGAGGAACATGTAAATGTTAAAAGTGAGAGCTTATAAAGTCCGTACAAGCATAAGCATATCACTGAACAAGGTAAAATGCCCCTTCCCTGATTCAACCCCCACCCCCAACCAAAAACACCCTCCAAAATCACTTCGGGAAAAAATGTCACATTGTACAATGTGCACAATCAAGAATTCAGTTAAAATTCAATAAGCTAGGGTGAAGATAGATACACTTCACCAGAAAGAACAAATAAACAGATTGAGCACTTCACCAGAAAGAACAAATAAACAGATTGAGGGTTCAAGCAAAAATATCACAAAGAAGCAGGTATTAGGAGATTGCATCTCCAAAATAATGGCCATGCATAAATCGTTCCATCAACTTCGCCATGTAAGCTTCATATTCTATGTGAGCTCACATTGTTGGTCTCAAACACAGAAAAAAAGAGGAAAGTTACATTAGGTTGATAGACAGTAATCAATTCATTCTGAATCCTCATAATAATGTATGTCCAGACATACTCTCCTAGACACACATCATGTTGGTTTATTGAGTATTTGAATATAGCAGCTCCAAATAGAGCGAAATGGATTATAAGATTAATACACTAGCCTACTCTACTTGGTACCGCTCATATGCTAAACTCGAGTAGTTATTCAAATTCTCTCAAGCTGAAGGTACATGGTGATAAAAGTTTAAAATGGAGCAAATAAAGAAGATAAAAAAATTAATATACAATGTTCTTCTGCGACTGTGACAGCAGAAAACTGAGGATCTGGCTGCTTTCCAATTCTTTAACCAATTGGAGGATTCCCAATCCATTTGTTACATAATTCCGCGTCCAAATCTTAATCCATTCGTGGCTGAACTTTCATTCTGCAGCCAACCCTTTTTCTCTTCCTTTTTTTTTTTTGATATGCTAAACCCCACAGCTAGACCCTACTATACTTCGGAGTCAAGAGTGGTTATTTCCCACTTTGCTCCCTTGGTGACTTGAGCCCCCAAACTCAAGGTTGGAGACATTTGTCAGGAAAAAAGAAAGAAAAATGTGTCTACAAGCTAAAAGCTATCTGCCATAGCAGTTTGATTAAGTAATGATAGAATTTAAGTAGCTATCATATTCGGGACAATAAACCATTTTGGTGACATTTTTCATATTATGTTGTTAAAAAGTATAAAATAGAACTAAAAGCATATGGATCAACCTTGTTCTTGAACTTTTTTTTACAGTAAAACTAGACTAAATCAAAACAAAGCAATGAAGAAGCTGGCAGCATCATTATTGGGAGAGAACAGAATATTAAATAAAAGAAATGCCTCTTCCCATGTCTCTCATATAGGTTTCATAATTACAAACTAGTTCTATAACCAATACGTGACTTAATGGAGCCCTTATTCAAATAATATCTCATGAAGTTTTTGGTGCACTTTTTTTTCTTGGCCTGAACAATTTATGATATAATCAGCTATCTTTTCCCTTTGTGTGCGTCTCTGTGTGTTTCCATTATTGACAAAATTTAGCAGGATTTTTGTCACTAGTTCACTATCGTCATAAACTCATAATTAATACTTGTAGGGTCATATGCAGATAAGTGAAATCTTAGCCATAGATTGGCTGAGAGCATGATGATGCAACATTGAACAAAAGAATTGGAAAAGAGCTGGACTGCAACAGAAGACAAACAAGATTTTTTTTAAGATAAGACAAAGAAGGTTATTGGCACTTATGTTTATTTTGTGAATTGAAGTTGTACATCTAGAACCAAAAAACGAAGTATGACACTTTGAAACCATTGAATAAAATATGATGCTGAAAAGATGTATGTATGGGTAATATAAGAACCTAACCGAAGCAAGATTGACTTAATCTGCCAAATTCACCCGGAGTATCACTACGTTTCGGCTTTCTTGAGCTCCTTGACAATTGCATTCGCCAGTTCCTCCCCACTGTATTCCACGCCGAAGCATCTAACTACTTCCATTTTTGGATTCACCAAATACCTATTAGATTAACAACCCATTTATACTCTGACAGAACTGCTCTACCACAGGTTAAAAATAAAACTGAAAGAGTTTACTCTCCTAGACAATGCTGCATATTTGACAATATAGGACTTGAGGCTTACATGTTGTGAGAAGATTCCACCAGATAATCATCTCCTTCTTCATCAACCTTCTTAAAGTACACTCGGTATTCTTGTGCCATCTGTCTAACAGCAGTAACTGGTCCAGTTAATCCCATTATTCTTGGGTCAAACTCTGCATTTCATGCAAATAAAATTAACAAAGATAAAGTGTAGGAAATAAACATCAAATAAAAGGACAACTATATGATTGAATCCCTTTCTCTTCAAGCCCACAACCCCATGTTGGGATCTCTTTCCACAACTCTTTCAGTAAGACATCCATTCCAGAACCTGGAGAGAGAAAGAGATCAGAGAGGCTAGATGCAGACCTTTAAGATAAGCTCGAAGTTGTGAAGGCGTATCGCGTTGAGGATCAATTGTGACAAATACTGGGAGAATTTTAAGATCCTGTTTTGACCCTTGTTTAAGTAAAGCAAAAAGGACCACAAAGCAAAAAGAAAATTAAAACATCATTAACATAAGTCAGTAAATAAGAAAATATCATTTCTATTCAAAGAAACTGAGTAGAACCTAGAATATCAATAGCCTTAGCCATCTTCTGGACTTCTGCTGGACCAACATCAGGAGATGAAGTATAACCAAAGTAGAGAAGAACCCAGTTTCCACGCAAGTTGCGCTCCGTTACCACACGACCTTCTATGTCAATTAAACTGAAGGGGCCTCCAATTATTGGCCCTTGGATTGCACTTCTTTCAAATTTCTCGCCTTGACCTGAAATGAGTGAAGCTTTATATTGTGCCACTAAATAAAATTTATGGCACTAGAAACCTAATCAGACAGTAAATGCTTCATAGAAAAGCATGAGTCAAGTGGACAAACATATCATCATTTTCTGATAAGGAAAAATAAGTAGAGAGGAGGATAGTGCAACGAACTCTTTTATTTAAACTAGAAAAGATACTGAGATTGCCATGAGAAGTCTGCGGACGAGCTCATTATGTCTCTTTTTTGGTTCAGTATAAGCAGGACTCTGGGAAGAAAATACAGTTAGCCTGTAGTTCTGGTAGATGGAAGTTTAGCAATCAAAAGAGGCTTTAGTTCTTGCACTCCATTGTGAAATAAAGGCTGATAACCACTTTTAACTAGGATATATGATAGCTTTCAAGCATTGTCAGTACATCTGTTCAGGTACAGAAGCTGTACAATATATGGATCGTCCATTTATCATGTCTTTTATGAAATGTCCATTCTGAAAGAGGATTATACCACTTTTAAATTCACTGCACACATACGTCCTTAATTTGTTTCTTCTTTTTTTGTTTCCATCTAAGAGTTAGTTCCAGCATTCAACGGCACATGAGTGATTGAGACGTAGTAGATAGAAAGGCACATAAAGTAGTTCCAAGGTCAAGTCTAATTGATAGAGCCTTGACCAAAAATATTCCGGAGCCCCACCTTTTGGAATTGCTCTCCTTTCATCATTATAATGAAGAAAAAGGATCAGTCCACCAAATCCTCCCAAAAGAGCTCCAGGCTGCAAAAGTAGAAATAAGATGAAGAAAACTAAGTTAAAGGAGGCAAAGACATTATGCACAGAGCAGATGCAATAACAGTCACAAAGCAACATTCAGTAGGAAATGGAGTTCAAATGCAATACTGATATATAAGGGTTCCACGATTTTGGTGTTGGGGATGGTCCAGTTAATAAAGGCTGATCATTAGTCTTTCTAGCAGATCTCATGCAGCTGGCTGAATGGAAGCGCTTATGTGTGATAAACCTACACATGAAACAAGTAATCAGAAAATTGCAATGCACTCCAGAATTTGAAAATGAAATGGTTTTCTTTTATCCTTTCTATTCTACATGTATTTGAATCTTTTCTCATTTCTGTTTTCTCTTTTTTATTTCCCCTTTCTTTTTTTCTTTTTCTTTTTTTGGTGGGGGTNTAATACTTTCAGTTCAATATTAGATTAGTCACGGGGAAGATCAACTTATAATAAATTAACCAAGCCTGTTGATTATTTGTATTATGCAACCAGAAATGGACTCACTCCGGTGCATGATAACCAAAGGTTCCTAGAACACGTGTGGAATGAAGACGAGCTGCCATATCAGGGGCTTGATTTGATAAATCAAAATCCGCTATCTTAGCGACATCATCATCAAAGAGCAAAATGTTGCTAGATTTAATATCACGATGAATGATATGAGGCTGCGCTTTTTCATGCAAGTACTCCAGTCCTCTTGCAGCCCCAACTGCAATTTTAACTCGTTGAGCCCATGACAATACTGGACCTGGCTGCGCACCCTTCACACCTTTTCTTCCTGCAATCACAAACTGAAAAATTATGCATTTTGCAGCAAATTAACAAAATATGTTACAAAAGGTTGTAAAAGAAGCATGATTGGCCACACACAGAAAAATAAACATCAACGGAAAGTTCCAATTCTCTCTGTCAGATTGGCCATACATACAGAAGAAATGTTCAACACAAACCTACAAGTCATAGTATTCTATACAACTATTTCTTTTCCTTTTTTGAGATGGAAAACAAATATTCTATACAACTGTTGGACTTTGATCAATCCAATTTACCAATTAAATTTTAAAGGGCTACCCATACTTCTCTTAAACCAATTTTCAACAACTTCAAAACTAATTTCTTATATTTTAGTGTTTATCCAAACCATGGTTAATGGGAATTGAGATGGAGTATATTTTTAAAAGAGAATTATATACAACAAAAAGCAAAAAGAATAAAGAAAAATTGATGGATTCTTAATAAGCAAGGTCCTTTGAAGATATCGTAGGTCCAAACACTCTTAAATATGGAACTTCACAAAAAACTTTCATTATACATGTCAGAGAATGCTTTAAAAAAGAACTTTAGAATTTGGGATGAAGCATGTATTGGCCACTAATAAGGGGGTCTTTTACTGCACGGCGCATTAATGAAGTACTTAAAGTGGAGTCTGAAATGTACTTAGACATAGTTGGATTGAATAGCAATAAATTCCAAACACAAGCTACGGAGACGAGTTCTTGGGATTTGCCAAAAAATTTGACTCATCTCGGCTTGAGGAACCAAATGCACAAAGAATTATGGATAAATCTACAGGTTTTAGTACTAATGAGAAGTAGGGGTGGGCGTTCGGGCAGTTTGGATTGCATATGAAATTTCGGTTTGGATTTTCAGTTTTCGGATTGGGTCGGATTTTTTAAGTTTGGTTTCGAATTAATCAGTTTGAATATTTTGGATTTTTGGTTTTGAGCTTATAAGTTGAGATGTTTCTTCTTTTTTTACACAAATAAATATCCAAATGAAATACTCATGTTAAATTACTCATGTTAAATTACCTGATTAATTCCTTATTCTCACCGCAATCATCCAAATGAAGTATTAAAGTAATGAAATTATTATATAAAAAAATACAATAGAGACATTAATACGACAGATAAGAAGTAGAAATAGTAAAACCATATCCAAATAGAAAGTATTCACATAGTAATTTAGTAATTATTATTGAATATATGAGATAATATCTAATGGGTAGGGTATTAAACTTATTAATATTGACATACGGATAATGGATTAATATAAAGCATAAGAATTTCGGATTTTCGGATATCCAAAAATTTGAAGTACCAAATCCATTATCCAATCCGAAATCCAAAATTTTTAAAAATTAAATCCAAAATCCAATCCGTAATCCGAAAATCCAAACCAAAAATTCAAGAAATTCGGATTTCGGTTTGTATTTCGGGTTTGCCCAAACTATGCCCACCCCTACCTACTGGGGCTTGATTTTGCATCAAGAATACATCATAACTTTCTTTAGGAATAAAACTTAAACAACTTGTTCCAATTTAATTGAAGTGATGACTAGATAGAGTTCGACTCTTCATGCAAATTTTATATTCTTCTGCCAGGATTCTTGCAAGTAAACTTCAAAAAAATTATTCATGACTCAATATCATTCTTATCACTCACATGGTAATGCATGATGCCTCTCTCTCCTCATAGATACATTTGATGCATTCAAAGTGTTCATTCTCTGCAAAATGTAGAAGCAAAGAAGCTCCACATAGAATTCCCTATTCTAAACACGCCAAGCTCACAAAAGCGTAGAGTCATCTTTTCTGCCATACTTTACTGTCACATAATGAAGTTGTCGCATTCTAAACCGGCAACAACTGTACACGAGCATAAGTACAACCTTGAATGAGTCACAAATCATACAAAAGCTCAATCTGATGGAGAGTTACCTTTAAGTCATTCTCCGCATCAAGCTTCTGAAGATAGGAAGCCTACAGTATCTTTTGACTTGCCTTTACGTTAAGTCATTCTCCGCATCAAACTTCTGAAGATTGGAAGCCTACAGTATCTTTTTGACTTGCCATGAAACAATCCTTGCCCTCTTTCTTAATAACAAACAAAAGACCAAGTTTCCCCACAACTTAGCCTCTATGTGAAGAGGTAGTAATCATTTGCTACTTTTTAGACTTATAGTTTCTCCAATGTTTTCTTGATTAATATTGCTACTAATCATTTAGCCAAAATCAAATTTCGCTCATGTTGGATCTTACAAACTTACAAATAGCAAAATCCCTAAGGGAAAACTAGAAAGAGAAAGTTGGCCACTGTAAGAAGTACATAGTGGAACAGGTCAACTAAGAGTTACGCATAAACCGAAACTTCACAAAGTTTCCTTATAAGGTGCCCTCCAAGTCTCTTGTTTAATCTATCTAACCAAGACAGCCTCCCGTGCTACCAACTGAAACTCATGAACCTAAGACACCACAAGTGACTCATTGGGTTAGACCAGTTTTAAGTCTATAAAACTCCTTAACCACAAAGGCTCATTCAAAGGAACTTTAGTAAGTCATCTTATAGTCCAAATCAGATCTAAAAGCAACCTTAATGATAATGTCACACATACTCCATGTGTCTACAAGTCATATGATTGGATTTTTACCTAGATACTTCAAATTCTGTTTTCTTTTCACTATCTTCTTTGCAGAGAGAGGTATACTCAAAATTAATATTTCTAGCGTTCAAGTTTTAGGAGATAGATGTTACTAGCTCCAAGTCAACCTTATTGAATGCAAGTATGCAACAGAACACGAGAACCATTGTATTCATCAGAAATTCATTTCTCCTATTCTTCACCCAAACATCAAGAATAATCACAGTTAGAGCTTTCAACACTAACATTTTGTTCTCTCATAATGCTATGCTTGGTCTTGGTGAAAATAGGAGGGGCGTCATTTCTAGGGTTTGCTAAGAAAGTCAAACTGGAGAATTTTCAACTAGCAATCATAGTGTTAAGAGTTTAAGGTTCATCAAGGGAACTTTCTTCTCGCAAATTTTCATCCACTATGTAGCGTCATTTTCAAAAGCTAAGTAGATTATTAACATACTAACACACTACACGAAGCATATTTGAATTAGTTACACTACAGAAAGCATATTTCAATTTATCACGCTACAAAAAGCATATTTGAATTTAACTCACGAACCATATCTGAATTTATCACATGTTTGGATTTTAAAATAAAGAATAATTAAATCAACTATAATATTTCCACAATCCATAATTCAACGACATTAGAAATGCTCATAAAAGATCAGAGCCGTAAAAATTCAACAAGACAAAACCCATGAACTTTCAACACTGTTCAGATTATACAAAATGCAGCTAATTACCTTTTATACGGATTCAGGGTCTTTATAGAGCGATTCTTAATTGAATTCAAGAGAAACCTGGACACTTGCATTTTTGTATTAGCACTAACTTGACAAAATATGAGAAGTAAAGGGACTAAAATAAAATTGGGTATCTTAGAACTGAAACTTCTGGGGCAAGAAATTGTAGGGGTTAAGCACCATTTTGTGCTATATTCTTTTCTACTGAATATCAGCTACAAGGGACTGGGGTTCATGGAAGTCTAATGAGGAAGGCGAGGTGTACACGGCACCGTTTTGGTGGCTTTTTGCCACAAGAATTAGTTCGGTTATTTGCAAGGTGTCGTTAGTTGGCAACTTAGAATTTTGGTTATACAGATTTGAAAATTTATACTTCAAGGTCAGGTCTATTGTTGTTTTAACCCATTATTTGCCTCTTTAAATTATAGTTCTTGATATATAATTAGTTAGTTCACTGGTCAAAAACCAAAACAAGGTTTCCCCAAGTCCCAACCGATCCAAAATTTTAAATCTGCATCACTAATTTTAATATACTAATATTTATCTTGACCATAATTGTTTGAGCAAAAAGTTTAAAACTATTTTGTCGAACTAATTATTGATAATAAACAAGATAAATCTTAACCAAACATAATTAATTTTAGATCCAAGCATATAAAGTGCGAAATAAAAGAAGAGTAGGAACGCATATGATTTATTAATGTGATAATCGTACATCAAACATGAGAGATGAGCTTACATCCAAAGCAGAGATGCATCATAATCATGGGAGCAAAGAAAGGGAAGAGAGGTAATTGTTGATAAACAAGAGATTCCTCTTGACTCCTCAGTTGTGGTTGCTCTCCTTCGAAAAATCCCCCCTTTCTCTGAGCTCTCTCTTCATATATATAGTTCTTTTCTCTTTTATCCAATGGTCTTTGACCGGCGTGCTTTCTTACGACTGTACCTTTCGTCGTTTGCTCGAACACAGCGCTTGTTCGATGATGTACGCTTTCCGATGATTTGACCCTGACGATGGCCGAGGTGCTCTTTGCTATCTCGCCCCCTGGACATGATTACAGCTTGGTCGACCCCTTATCATTCCTCTTGGGACGACCACTACGGTCAGGTTTTGACCCATACAGTTAGTCCTTCCGTCCGTCGAGATCGCCTCTTAGCGGGCTCAAAGGGCGGACTCTGTCGATTCTAAAGTTAGGAGAAATCTGAATGTTTACGCCTTGAGCGAGGCCGTTAGGTCGAGGTAACGGCATGACGCTTCAATGATACCATTGAACTGTTACGTCCGTTCGAAGTTTAACCATTGATTCGATGCATCATGAATAGCCACTGTCATTATGGCGCACGTTTCCTAAGAATCGTATCGTTTCTTGTGCCCTATCAGTTTTGATTGGCGGCTCTTGGGTTTCCCACTTAGGACATTTATGTTCCTATAANTTAGTATTTCAAACTTCTGAGTTCATTCTCTTGTCAGTCAGAAATTGATGTCACCATCTTCTTTCTCCCTTTCTCTTACTTATTTATTCCGATTAATCGAGACAAATGGTTGATACTTCTTCCCACACTGATAGACCCATCGAAGCTCCAGCGTCGGAAAATGACGCACCTATTCTTGGAGAAGGAGCGGAAGCGGCGGAAGATGAGGGGGTTCCAACAACGGCTGAAATATTGCCCCGTCTGGGGAAATTATGGAATGATTTTAACAGCCCCGCCGGAGAAGAATCGGATCTTGCGTCATCTACCATGGATGAAGCAACGACTGCGGCGCTCAAGACCAAGTGAGGAATTCCGAATCATATTGAAATGGTACCGGCGACGGGAACGGATATTGTACATCTGCACCGCCTAAGGTATTGCGCATTTTACGCGTACCCTTTTGTTGTTGGGTATACGCTTCCCCTCCCTCCCTACTAATAGATTTTTGTCGCTTCTACAAAGTGTGCCCGGCTCAGCTTCACCGTATACAAACTCTTCCTCATGCTGCTCAAATACGCATAGCTCATCGGTCGAGAGGTCACTTTAGGGCATATGCTTAATATTTTTCCTCCCCAACTTATTTGAGGCTCGATGATCCACATGTGCCACCGAGGAACAAAGAGTTTGGTGGTGAAGATGGACGACGAGGCTAATCATCATTTATGGGAGAGTTATTTCTTCGTACGGACCGAGCACCTTGTGGCTCCCAAGATGTGCAACTTCGCGCGTAAGTTTTCCTTTGTTTAATTTACGACTCCTCTCGAGACAGTGGCCGACCGTTTCTCTTTGGTGGTATTGCTAATTTGTTTTCTGCGTTCGTAGCTAAGAGATTGCCTCCCCCGCCCGTTGATAATATCCGTGAGTAGGTCAATGCTATTCTTCCCCATACGGAGGGGGTCCATGAGTGGGCGTCCTTCTACGAGAGATACGGGCATAAGCCTCTTACTGGTAAGTCAGCTCGTTGCAGTTTCCTTATTCTTTGCCTTGAATTTGATCTCGTTGCTTACATGATTGTTTTTCTCCTTTAATAGGGAGAGTGCGAAGGGCGAGGGCTCCTACACTCGCGTTCCGTCAACCGGCGCCTTCTGCCCGGCCCGCAACGAGGTCTGCTGCCTGGCCTATATCGAGAGCTGCTCAATCTACACCTACGGCCGGGGCCGTGTGCATGAAAATTATTCCTCAACCCGAGACTCCGGCTCCTGCTGCCCCGCTCAACAGGTGAATCTTCCCATGCTGATGGTGGGGAGGGTCCATCGAAGAGACGGCGAGTGGAGTCTGAAGTGGCTCCTTTAGCCGCAGTATCTTCGGGGGGGCGACTTTCTCTTAACGGTGTCTAAAATTGGTGGTGATGCTAACCTGACCGCAGAGGTAAACTAGGTAGCAGAGGCCAAACCGACGGCAAAGGCTTTGGCCGTTGTGAACAATCAATAAGCTATTGCGACGGGAAGTCGGGGTCCCGAGGTCGCTGTTGCCTTTTCGGGCGGGCCTTCATCATCCGGACCGATTCGAGTTTCTTCTTTGGCTGTAGAGCGGGGAAATGGTGTCAAGGTTGATGACTACGAGTCTGACTCCGACCTTGATCCTGATGATGTCAGGATGTTCGCAGAGGGCCTTACCCGTACTGTGGTAAGAGCGGGAGGTCCCTCCCGTATACTTGAGATTCCATCGGAGCTTAATCTTCTCCGGGACACGGAGGTCTTAGTACCGTAGTTTGACCTTCTATGCTCCGCTGTAGAGTGTGAGGCTCTTCGGGACGTTAGTGACATCAAATTAATGCATGAAGTGGCCGCTATGGGCTTGAGGGTAAGTTTCTCCTCTTTGTTTCTTTTTTGTGTTCCTTTTGCTTTTGGCGACCTTGGCCTTTATCAACTCTTTTCTTCTTCTTTTTTATGCTTTCAGTCTTACATGTTGGAGATCGAAAGTGCTCACAGGGCCGATACTTGGGCCAAGATTTTTCTGATGATGTTGGAAAAGTATCGGCGCTACCGCAACAAATGTTGGGAGATGCATGAGCGGCTCAAGGCGAGCACCGACAATCAATCTCTCAGGGAGGAGCTGGAGAAAAGGGATCAGGAGCTAATGCAGTCCATTCGCAGGAATAGTGACCTCGAAGAGCTACTTCGTGCGAAGGACGAAGAACTTGAGTTGGGAAAGGGGGTCACTGCAGAGTGTGAGCATCTTCAAGCAAAGGTGTTGTCATTGCAATCCGAGCTCGATCAAAATGCCGTCAAAGTTGAGGCTTTAAGTGCATAATGGATGGGGAAGTTAGCCGAGCTGGAGAGGAAAGTGTCCGAGTTAGAGAGCGCCGAGAGTGCTCGGGCATCGGCCTCAGCAAGGGTGGCGGCGTTGGAGGACACTATCAGTGTCCTTCAATCCGAGAAGGAATCCGAGAGGGCAAAAGTCATGCTAAGGGAGGCGAGGCTTGAAGAGCGTATTGGTGAAATTGACTGGGAAGCTTCAAACTTAGGAGATCGGGTCATTGTACTCGAGGCCGAAAAGGCGCAATTGTTGGCCCAAGTTGAATCTGCCTCTGCCGATGTTCCTCGCCACTTGCACGAGCTTTGGGTTCATGTCAAGGCCCAACGGGACATATACAAGAGTTTGTGAGAGGCTGGCAATATTTCTGAGGCTGCTTATAAAGGAGCTTAGAAGAAGGCACGAGAGGCTCGTGTCAACTACAGCTACGACCTTGCAACACCGGAGGCTGGCGAGGATGCTGATGCTAAGGAGGAATTTCTTGGAGATGATGAAGGGGAGAACGACGGTGATGACACCGAGTGAAAAGTTGTTGCTTTAGTATATTTTTTTTGTTTTGTTCTATTTGTGCATTGGGCCTGTTTTGGCTGTGTGTAAGGTGCGACCGTTGCGCCCGTATATAAGTAAAAGGGTTTTTTCGACGTTGTACATCTTTTGAATTTCTTCCCCTTCCCTTTGCTTTACATTTTTTGTTTTGGCGTAGACCTTCGGATTTTTGTATGGCGAGTCCCTGATTTCTCATTTTGGTAATCTGACCTTGACTCGGCCGAGTAAGGTCTCGTCGTGTGAGTCCGAATGGAGTTTCTTCGGGTTTGCACGTTTGGGCGAGATTGACTTTTGATTTGTCGCTTTAGGCGGAATCATCTTTGACTCAAACGAGGTGAATTCAGATTTGTCATTTCGGACGAAGTCGGTTTCGACTTGAATCATTCGAGGTGGATCAAATTCACTTGCCGATTTAGGCGAAGTCGACTTTTTCATATGTATTCGAGCGGGGTTGAACTTTGGAATTTGGATCGGAGTCAATTTCTGATTTATTTGGACAAGTTCGTAGGACGAATGTTTTTTGTTTGACGATGACCGGTGGCCGCAAAGGCATTATTTCGAGTAGGATCGAAATGTTAGTCCGTGTGATTCGAGCGAGGTCCAATTTTTCTTTTAGTGATGGCCCTTGGCCGTAGGGGTGTTATTTTGAACTAAGGTCGAAATATTAACCCGTTGCGATTCGAGCGAAGTCGAATTCTTTTTTAGGCGATGGCCCTTGGTCGTAGGGGTGTTATTTCGAACTAAGCGAAATGTTAACCCATTGCGATTCGAGAGAGGTCGAATCTTTATTTTGGTGATGGACTTTGGTCGTAGGGGTGTTATTTCCAACTGAGCAAAATGTTAACCCGTTGGGATTCGAGCAAGGTCAAATCTTTCTTTTGGTATGGCCCTTGGCCGTAGGGGTGTTATTTCGAACTGAGCAAAATGTTAACCCGTTGCGACTCGAGCGAGGTCGAATCTTTCTTTTGGCGATGGCCCTTGGCCGTAGGGGTGTTATTTCGAACTAAGGTCGAAATGTTAACCCGTTGTGACTCGAGCGAGGTCAAATCTTTCTTTTGGTGATGGCCCTTGGCCGTAGGGGTGTTATTTCGAACTGAGGCCGAAATGTTAACCCATTGTGAATCGAGCAAGGTCGAATCTTTCTTTTGGTGATGGCCCTTGGCCGTAGGGGTGTTATTTCGAGCTAAGGTCGAAATATTAACCTGTTTAATTATCAGATTTTGGAGAATCACAGGTCACCGTATTGTTTGTGTATACGTCGGAGTGGATCCTGGCGTGCTCGGTTTTGTTTTTTTTTTTGGAGAATTTTGGGTTTTCCCCTGGAGAGTCCCAGTTTTGTTTAGCTTCTGTGTTTCTTGGGTGAGTCCCAGTTTGCTTAATTTTGCTTGCATTGGAGAATACGATGCGTTTCCTGGGTGAGTCCCAGTTTGTTTAATTTTGCTTGCATTGGAGAATACGATGATAGGGAGTATAAAATGTTGTTGTTTCGCTCACTGGAGAATGCTATACGTGTTCGTTTCACACATATATTGGAGAAGTTTCCATATATCTAGTCCCTTCATCGTCCGATCTGGATAAGTAGTCAACAGGTGGGGTAACGAATCATACTTTGAACTTTGAGACATCCCCTTCGTATCCCGATTAAAAACTTCCCCGAGAACCTAATAGGGGAGAAACCCGGGTGAGGGAAAAAGAGTACGACTTGAGGGGTGTTCTTTTTCAGGAGTTGAGGTATCTGAGGTAGGCGGCATTTCAATTATTTGGTAGTAGTTTTTCTTCCATTGTTTCTAGTTGGAATATTCCTTTGCCCGCTTGCTCGTGCGGGCGCTCGTGTTCCTGTTTAAACCAACAATAGAGGGTAGACCAAAAATGAAATTTTTTGTACCTCGATCCAACGGGTCGGCGAAAAGGGGCGGCATTGTAGCGTTGCTTGCTCTTCCTAGTGTTCGAATGGTTGATGGAATAGTGGTTTTAGATCTGGTGGCCGTGTTCAGCTCCTTTATTTTTGTTTAATAGCGTCTAAGTTTTTGCATGGGTTGCGCTTACCTTACTTGCTGCAGTGTTGAAGTCGAGTCCCGGTCCGATCTCATTCAATTTGTACCCACAACAAGGGAGGCATATTATACTTCATTCATGGACCATCCGAGGTGTGGGTTAATGCGAAAGTAGGGTAGGATGTGCCCATACTTTCAAAAGGCCACGCAACAAGCTATCATCCTCTCATAAAGGGTGGGAACACGGGTTAATATAAAAAATGAATGTGTCAAATGGGGATGTGGTCACGCCAGATGACCCTGATCTTATTTTGAACGTGCGTATGTCATGCTAAACCTATCGCTACTGGCGAGATGCGGGTTTTTCATGGATATTGGTTATAACTTCTACTTTTATGTAGAAGCCTGACCTAGATTAGCATGTGAGGCTTATTTACCCCTCTTTCGAGTGGGTGGTTACATTTCGCCGGTTCTAGATCTGAAGGAAACTAAGAAATTTGGCTAAGAAATACTCACAGATGGCGCCAAATTGTTTGAGCAAAAAGTTTAAAACTTTTTTGTCGAACTAATTATTGATAATAAAGAAAGTAAATCTTAACCAAACATAATTAATTTCACATCCAAGCATATATAGTGCGAAATAAAAGAAGAGTAGGTACACATAAGATTTATTAATGTGATAATCGTACATCAAACATGAGAGATGAGCTTACATCCAGAGCAGAGATGCTTCATAATCATGGGAGTAAAGAAAGGGAAGGGAGGTAACTGTTGATAAACAAGAGATTCCTCTTGACTCCTCAGTTGTGGTTGCTCTCCTCCGAAAAATTCCCTCTTTCTCTAAGCTCTCTCTCTCTCTATATATAGTTCCTTTCCTTTTTATCCAATGGTTTTTGGCCGGTGTGCTTTCTTACGACTGTACCTTTCGCCGTTTGCTCGAAAAAATCGCTTGTTCAATGATGTACGCTTTCCGACGATTTGACCCCGATGATTGTCGAGGTGATCTTTGCTATCTTGCCCCCTGGGCATGATTGCAGCTTGGTCGACCCCTTATCATTCCTCTTAGGGACGACCACTACGGTCAGATTTTGACTCATATAATAATGTCAAGTAATGTGAAAAATCTAATATTTTATGAAATAGCTTATCCAAAATATATATTTTTTGATTAATTTAAATTTTGTATTTTATTTCACTAATGTTATCAGCTATATTATTTGTACAATCGAATAATATTTTTTTTAAAATGTATTGGATAACGAAAAGGAAAAGGAGCTTCAACCTATGGTCTGATAAGATAAGGGGAGATAGAAGAAAAGGAAACAACAACAACAAACCTAATGCATTTCTATAAATGGTGTCTGGGGGTAATGTATACGCAAATATCACCCCTACCTTATAGAGATAGAGAGATTTTTTTCGATAGATCCTCGGCTCAAAAAAATTGGAGATAAAGCAATAAATAGCAAGCAATAGTAACAACAATATATTATGATAGTGGGGCAAATGACACAACAAATAATAGTAAAGAACCATGAATAAGATAATACAAAAATAGTCCTAATTCTACTGGTAAGCCTAGGAGGAACACACTACTATTTGTCAACTCACAATCCTAACCCTCGACCTTCACACCTTTCCATCGTGGGTCATATCCTCGGTAAGTTGGAGCAATGACATATCTTGCCTAACTACCTCTCCTCAATACTTCTTAGGGCTACCCCTTCCCTTCGTTAGAACCGCCATGGACAACCTCTAACACATCCTGACCGAAACATCTATGTCTATCCTCTTCACATGCCCGAACCATCTCAGTCTCAATTCCCGCAACTTGTCTTCCACAAATGCAACTCCTACCTTGTCCCTAGTAACTTCATTCATAATTCTATCCTTTTTGGTATGTCCACACATCCATCTCAATATCCTTATTTCGGCTACTTTCAACTTCTGGACATGAGACTGCTTGATGGGTCAGTACTCAGCCCCATACAATATAGTCGGTCTAACCATACTACTAATACTACCACGACTATCAAAACCACCACCACTATAACCACCACCACTACTACCACCACTACTACAACTACTATCACCACTATCACCAACACTACCACCACCACTACAACCACTACTACCACCACTACTATCACTACCACCACCACTACCACTATCACTACTACCACTATTATCACTACTACCACGACAACAACAACAACAACAGCTACTACTACTACTACTACTATTACTACTACTACTACTACCACCACCACCATCACCACCACTACCACCATCACTACCACCACCACTACCACCACCACTACCACCACCACTACCATGACTACTACCACCACGACCACCTCCACCACCACTACCACCTACTACTACTACTACTACCGCTACCACTATCACCTACTACTACCACTACCACTACTACTACTACTACTACTAACTACTACTACTACCATCACTACTACTACAACTACTGCTACTACTACTACTACTACTACTACTACCATTACTACCACTATCACTATCACTACTACTATCACTACCACTACTACTATCACTACCACTACTACTGCTACTATGACTACTACCACCACCATCACCACCACTACCACCGCCACTACCACCATCACTACCACCACCACCGCCACCACTACCACCTACCACTATTACCACTACCACTATCACCTACTACTACCACTACCACTATTACTACCACTATTACCACTACTACTACTACCACCACTACTACTACAACTACTGCTACTACTATTACTACCACTACTACCACTATCACTATCACTACTACTATCACTACCACTACCACTATCACTACTATTACTACTGCTACTATGACTGCTACTACCGCCACGACCACCACTACTACCAACACCACCACCACCAATACCAACACCACTACCACCATCACCATTACTATCACTACTACCACCACGACTACTATTACAACCATTACTACAACTACTATCACTACTACTACTACCACTATTACTATTATCATTACTACTACTACCATTATTACTATTACCACCACTACCACCACAACTACCACGACCACTACCACTACCACTACCACCACTACTATCACCACCACTATCACAATCACTACCACTATCACTACTACCACCATTACTATTACCAGCACTACCACCACCAGTATCACTACTACCACCACTATCACCACTACTACCATCACTACAACTACCACTACGATCACCACCACTACCATCACTACTACTGCCATTACTACCACCACTACCACCACTACTATCACTACCACTACTACTACCATTACCTCTATGACCACTACTTTCACTACTATTACTGTCACTACTACCACTGCGACTATAACTACCACTACGACCGTTACTACCACTACCACTACTATCACTACCGCTATTGTTGCTACTACTAATACTACTAATACTATTACTACTATTACTACTACTACTATCACTACGACTACTATCACCACTACTACCACTATTATCACTATTACTACCGCCACTACTACCGCTACCGCTACGGCTACTACTACTACTACTATTACTATTACCACTACTACTACTACTATTACCACTACTACTACTACCACAACGATTACTATTACTACCACTACCACTACTACTACCACTACGATTACTACTACTACTACCACCACCACCACCACCACCACTACTACCACTACTACCACTACTACCACCATGACTACTACTATTACTACTATTACTACCACCACTACTACCACTACTATTACCACCACTACCACCACCACTACCACCACAACTACCATCACTACCACTACCACTACCACCACCACTTTGGCGGTCCCGAGTTTTGGCGGGCCGGGCTTTGACGGTCCTATGCCAAACAGTCCCAATGGGTGGAACCGGCCCACTGTGGTCCTAAGCCCACATGGTCCCAAGCTAAATAGGCCGGGCCCATGGGCCTAAATGGGCTTTTTCGTTCCGGGCTATTTGTTTTTGAATTTTTTTTATCTAAAGCAATTTCTTGTAAATTATATATGTATATACTAATATAAATTGCTTATATATAGCTATATTATGTATATTATGTATAGTATGTATATATAATTATATATTGCCTTATATACTATATAGCTTATATATATTATATATACTATATCTATATCTATAATATATATATCTACAAATATATATATAGTTTATATGTATTAGATATATATATAAATTTAATATAGTATATATATTATATATGCACACATATATATAAGGCTATATATATAGATAGATAGATAGATAGATAGATAGATAGATAGATGGATAGATAGATAGATAGATGTATTAGATATATGATATATATACGATATCAAATTTAAACACAAAATAAATTGCAAAGAAATATTCAAAGGAATGTCTTATAATTTTTATCATTACGACATTAAAAAAATGGCAATATCTTTCTTAGTCTTCCTCCCCCCCCCAATGGAATGAGCACAACAAGGTACTAATATCACCATTAAAAGGAAAAAAAGCTAAGGAAGATGTGTCAAAATACAAGTTACATATCTGCAACTGTGTTAGTAATAAACTTACCTGTGTGGCGTGAATTAATTATTCTATAAGCAATAATGTGCTTTTGCATTATCCAGTCTTCATCTATCCAATGACTTGTAACAGTTAGATAATCACAGTTATTACCACTTCTACCAATATCAGTAGTAATAGCAATTCGACAATCTACATGAGTAAATAAATAGTGCAAATATTGTTCATATTCATGTTTATATTTATAAATATCGCTCTTTACGGTTGCGCGAGGCTATCTTTTATAAGTAGGATTAAAAACTCTTCTAATATAATGCACAAAATGAGGGTTAGAAGGAAAACTATAGGGTAAGCACATAACAGTAACCATTTTTGCCAATTCTTCACGATCTTTATTTGGATCATAATATAAAATGCCACCGATAACAATGTTAATTCTCGATTGAACTAGATTTGACCCTGTACTAGGGTTAACCGTAGTATCTACACTTGTCCCCTCTTGCGCAACTTTCATTTGTAAATATCTAGCCTTATCTCTAGGGTGTTTCTTTATGTGTCTAGTCAAAATACTTGTACCGCTACGGTCTCCAGTATATTATGAGCCATCAAAGACCCACAAGTTTTACACTTAGCCTTATTTTGTTCTCTTAGTTGAGTAAAAAAAGTGCCAAACAAGAGATATTTCGGGCCGTTTAGAAGGTTGTCTATTAAAAGTAGGGGTTACTACAAGAAGGTCAGGTAGGGCATCAGTTGGGTTATTAACAGGACTAGTAGGTATATCATCTAAATCCGGTTACGTTTCATCTAAGTCATCATTTTCCTCATCATTATCAAATATAGTTTGATTAGGATAAAGAGCATTCATAACTTCTTCATTTAATTGTTGCCCTGGTGCAACATCAGGGCAAAATTAACTATCGGAAAATTGAAAACAAGGGTTATCACTATCAAGAATAACAGGTGGAGGAGGACGGGTAATAGGTCTGGGTCGGGGAGCCAGGGGAAGAGTAGTAGCTTGACGACTAGATTCACCAATATTAGATTTTCCCTTACCCTTACCACCAAATATTTTTTTCAAAGAAAAGTCCATATTAATTATAATTATACTAAATAAAACAAAAAAGACTATAATATTAAAACTTAAGAGTTGGAACGAGTTTACCGAATTGACGAGCAACTTCTTGAAAGTCGAATATCGTTGAAGACTTGACCAACTACACAATTTTTCACGAAATTGCAATAATAAAGTAAGCAATTATAAAAGAAAATTAGAGAGAGATTGATGAATTTGTGAGTAAAAATAAAAGAATGAGGGAGTATTTATAATTGAGAATAGGAAAAAAGTGTAATTATAAAAAGTTTGGGGTTAAAACAAAGTTTGGGAGCCAAATGACTATTTTTGAAAGTGTCAAACGGCTAAAAATGCAGGCCAACAGATACATTTTAAAATGCGAGCAGCGGGGGTCTGATTGCCTCCCCCGGCCTATGAAGTATCTGCTGTTGCTGTGGTGGCTGAAACTGCCTGAGCCAAGCCAGTGCAAACTGTTAAGATCTGTGCCAAGGCCTCCTGTAGACCCGGGATCACGATAGGCACAGCTGGTGCCTGAACTGGTGCTACTGGAGCATGATCCGGAGCTGGGGTAGCTGGTGGATCAACGGGTGCTGCCCTCGCTGTTCTGCCTCTGCCCCGACCACGACCGCGTCCACGACCTCTGGTGGCCTCAGCTGGTGGCACTGGTGGTCGTCCACCTCGTCTGGTAGCTCGCGTCCTCACCATCTGTGAGAGATGGAATATCAAAAGTTTAGTACTCGGACCAACAAGTTCGCATGACAAGAATTTCAAGAATATGAAGTTTTTTCCTAAAGGTTCTGCAGCCTCTCGAGGATAAATACAGACATCTCCGTACCGATCCACGAGACTCTACTAAACCCGCTCATGACTCGTGAGACCTATGTAACCTAGGCTCTGATACCAACTTGTCACGACCCAATTCTGGAACCCAATCGTGATGGCGCCTCTCGTGAAGACAAGGTTAGCCAGACCAAAACAGAATACCTCTTATAAACAGTTAAATATCATAAATAGTTCTAAAGCATGATATAATATCCATAATTTGTGGAAATTACGATAACAGTAGTAAAAGCCATCCCGACACAGCCCAAACCGGGGTGTCACAAGTCATGAGCAACTAATAAATCCGAATGCCAGTCTACTAGATAAGAAATCCGATACAGAAGTTCAAGAACATAAAAATAGTAAGATAAGGGAGGCACGAGGGCTGCGGACGCCAACAGCTACCTCGTAGTCTCCAAAAAAAAAACACTGCCTGGACTGGAAGGATCAGTAGTCAGGAGCGGACTCTGCGATGCCTAAATCTTCACACACGGTGCAGGGAGTAATGTGAGTACTCCGACTCAGTGAGTAATAATCATAAATAATGGCTGAAAGCAAGAAAACACGTAAAGGCACAAAGCAATTCTATATCAAATAGTAAATCCATGAAGAAGTCAAATGAAATTCTTTTAAACCAAGTAAAACAGATAATTTAGCATGTAAATAACAAGTAGAAATCCGCCCCTAGGGCACAGTAACAATCACTCAGAATAGTATCAGCTTCTCGAGCTCACTCTCATCACTTAGTGTTCATTCTCAGCTCTCGACCCACATATCTCTCATAATAACAGAAATGAGAATAACCGCTGCGGTGTGCAGCCCGATCCATACATCGCTGCAGCGTGCAGCTCGATCTATATAGATAGTCGACAGCGCTCGCTGGGGGTGTGCAGACTCCGGAGGGGCTCCTACAGCCCAAATGCTATATTGTTGCAGTGTGCAACCCGATCCATATAAGTATTTGCTGCGGCGTGCAACCCGATCCATAACATATATAATATCCTCACCATTGGGTTCTCAACTCCTCTCAGTCATTAACCTCACAACCTTTTGGTCACAATAATAGAAGATAGGGATCTCACCCCACAGATTCCTCTCATTTAGGAATAGTATGATAAAACCAGCTCGAATCGTTTAAAACAGATAGAAACATGACTTAGGATATGATTTTTAATAAGTATAGTGAGGAAAATCAGTCAAAATCCCTGAAGGGTTCAAATAGTTAGCACAACCCAAATATGGCAATTAGCCCAAATCATGGTGATAACAAATAAGTTTCAGTCAAACACGCGGTAAAATCATCAGTCGGGATGGACCAAGTCTCAATCCCCAGTAGTAAAAGACCTCACGCTCATCATCTAGCGCGTGTCTCACCTCAATATAGCACTACGATGTGCAAATCCGGGGTTTCAAACCCTCAGGACATCATTTGCATTCATTACTCACCTCGAACCGGCTACAACTCTAGCTCGCGATGCCTTTGCCCCTCGAATCGGCCTCCACGCACGTCGAATCTATCCAAAATCAGAACGAATACGTCACAATATGCTAAGGGAACAAAACCCAAGAGAAATCAATCGAAAAATATCAAAAATCCCAGAATTAGCAAAACCCGAGCCCCGGGCCCACTTCTCGAAACTCAAAATTTTTTACATCAACGGGTTCCTTATCCTCCCACGAGTTCATANTCTTCTGCGGCAATTCCTCTGCATCTGCGAAAATCACTTAGGGGGCCAGGTTCCGCATCTGCGACTCCGCATGTGCAGACAATATGCCGCATCTGCGGTCCCTGGCTATTCTTCCCAAACCGCTTCTGCAACTCTTCTTCCGCATGTGCGGCACCGCACCTGCGGACCCCAATCCGCAGGTACAGAAATACCAGAAGCAGCAACTTCTAAGATCTCTTAAGTCCAAAATCTTCCCGTTAACCATCCGAATTCATCCCGAGGCCCCCGGGACCTCAACCAAAAGCACCAACATGACCCAATACCTTTTTCAAACTTGTTCCAATCATCAAAGCACCTCAAACAATATCAAATTACCCGAAACACATCGGATTCAAGCCTAGTTTTTCTAAAACTTCCGAAATACATTTTCGATAAAAAACCCAACCAAACCATGTCCGAATGACCTGAAATTTTGCACACACATCCCAAATGACATAACGAAGCTACAGAAACTCTTGGATTTTCATTCCGACCCTAGGATCAAAATCTCACCTACCAACCGGAAATCGCCAAAATACTAACTTCGCCAATTCAAGCCTAATTCTACACCGGACCTCCAAAACCAATTACGATCACACTCCTAAGTCATATATCACCTCCTGAAGCTAACCAAAGCATCAGAACTCTCATCCGAGCCCTCTAACACACAAGTCAACATCCGGTTGACTTTTCCAACTTGAACCTTCTCAAAAGAGACTAAGTGTCTCATTTCTTACCAAATCCACTCCGAACACAACCTACTCAACTCGATCATATAAAACACGGATAACGAAGCATAATAAATCAGAAATGGGGAAAACGGAGCGGTAACTCATGAGACAACTGGCCGGGTCATCACATCCTCCCCAACTTAAACAAACGTT